TTTTGTTTTAGCCAAGGCTCTTTTGAACGTATCCACAAACCTTTCTGCTTGCCCATTTGACTGCGGGTGGTATGGTGGCGAGCGTAAGTGCTTTATGGCTAGTCGTTGACAGAATGACTGGAATTGGCTTGAGGTAAACTGTGAACCGTTATCAGATACAATGGCATCTGGTATACCATTTCGGGAGAAAATTTCTGTGAGGATCTGTATTGTTTTACTCGTTGTTGGCGGTATGATAGGGTTGATTTCAGGCCATTTCGAAAGGGCGTCGACTACAACTAGATACATGGTTCCGTTAATCGGGCCTGCAAAGTCGACGTGTATCCTGGACCAAGGATGATCAGGTTGTGGCCATGAAACTGGTGGAACTTTGGCGTTTACTTTTGCTGCTTGCTGACACCGCATACATTTTCCAACCAATTCTGTTATATGTTGATCCATTAGCGGCCAATACGCATGACTCCTGGCTATGGATTTCATTCGTCTAACCCCGGATGACCAAGGTGGAACTGTTTCAGCACTTTTGCACGAAGGGATTCTGGCACAACCACTCTCTCTCCGAACATCAAGCAGTCGTTTACAATGCATAGAGAATCCCGCCGCTGATACAGCTGTTTTATATCACCATCAAACTTCTTAGACGGCCAACCGTTGGTGACATAGCTCATAGTCATCCTGATGATGGGGTCGCTCTTAGAAGCATTTTGTATGTCCACTGCAGATACCGGCAAAGTTCGTATTGCGGTCGTCAGATAACATTCGGCGTGGTCTTCCGCTAGCAGAGATGCGATTACCGTGTTTTCCTCAGCCGCCAACTGGTCACTAATGAGCCGTGATAAGGCATCCGCCTGACCGAATTGTTGAGTGCGTCGGTACTGGATTTCGAAATCATACCCCAAGAGTGCTAAGGCCCATCTCTGAAGACGATTTGCTGAATGGGCTGGAATGCCAGATTTCGACCCGAATATTGCGAGTAAAGGCTTGTGATCTGTGAGAAGCGTGAATCTCCGACCGTACAGGAACTTGTGGAAACGGCGCACAGCAAACACAAGCGCAAGAGCTTCTTTTTCTATCTGGCTGTATTTTTTTTCTGCTGGGGTTAGTGTGCGGGCAGCATGCATAACGGCTTTTTCCGATGCGTCCGGGAACTGATGGGAGATAACAGCGCCTAGGCCATAGGCGGAAGCGTCTGCAGCTACGATGATCGGCATGGCTGGATCGTAGTGTGTCAACAGCAATTCCGAACTAATAATGGACTTCAGTTTACAAAAGGCAGCGTCACACTGTTTAGTCCAGTTCCAAGAGCTGTTCTTCTGCAGTAAGCTATTCAGTGGAGCGCGAATATCATGCATCGATGGAACGAACGCTGAGTAATAGCTGACAAGTCCCAGGAAGGAACGTAGTGACGAGACATTAGTAGGAGTTGGCATCAGTTTGATAGCTCGGATATTCTCAGGATCCGGCCTGCGGCCGTCGGCATCGAAAATGAACCCCAAGTATTTTACCGACTGCAAATAAAACTGGCATTTCTCTAGGCGTAACCGGAAACCGTTGTCACTGATGCGTTGCAGTACCAATGTCGTGCGTTCTCGTAGCTGTTCTAATGTCGTTGCTACAATTAAAATGTCATCCAAATAAGCCGCGACTCCCGAGATACCTGATAGGATGGTATCCATTAGTTGCTGGAAAATAGATGGTGCAGTTTTGACTCCGAAAGGTAGACGGTTATACTGGAACAAACCACGATGAGTGTTGATAGTTAACAGCTCTCTTGATGCTTCATCTACTTCCACTTGCAAATAAGCATCAGCTAGATCCAGCTTAGCGAAAAATCTTCCCCCATTCAGCATGGTAAATAGGTCTGCGGGAACAGGCAGGGGATAATGATGTTGTTCTAGAGCTGCATTGAGACCTGTTGAAAAGTCAGCACATATACGTATCGTGCCGTTGGCCTTCTTAATAACCACAATAGGTGCTGCCCATGCAGAGTAGGAAACGGGAGTGATAACTCCTTGTTGTTGAAGGCGGTTCAACTCTTCATCTACTGTTTGTAATGTTGCATAAGGGACAGGTCTCTTTGGGCGAAAAACAGGCTTAGCCCCAGTTTTCAAACGAAGTGTTGCTTTCATGGCAGAGCAGCGACCCAATCCAGGTTGGAAAATAGTTGAAAACTGCGTCATTAGGTTCCTCGTATAAGCTTCCAAGTCGTGTGGTTGTTGTCGTAGTTGGGGTTGTGATACCAGGTTGCATATGGTATTCAACGGGACATCAGCTAAATTTAAGTGGTCGAACCAATCTAACCCGAGCAAATTTAGGTCAGCTGGCGTTATGTAGCATACCCCAACAAATGCCAAATCGCGGAAAGTGACTGTACATTCCATTTGTCCTAGCAGGTGAAGGTAGTTACCACACGCAGTACGAGGCTTTTGCGTTGTATGCTGCAAGTTTGGGCTGCCCATTTTGATCCAAGTCTTACGAGAAAGGATAGTGACATCTGATGCTGTATCTATTTGCAATTTAGATGAATGCCCATTAATGTTAACAGTAATAAATTTTCTCTGACACGGTGATGAGCTTTGACACGAAGATACTAAGCTCAATGAATTGGTGCGGGATCTAGGAAGGGTCTTTTTGGTATTTCTGGATTGACTTGGAGTCTTCTTCGTCAGACAAAAACCATCCCTATGACCAATAACCTTACACTTCTTGCATCGATGTTGATTAAATGGGCAGTTTCGAACGTAGTGCCATGCACCACATTGCCAGCAAGGAGCAGGAGGAGTTGCTTTAGTCTGTTGTCTAGAGCTGGAGTGAGATGGACTGGATGAAGCGGGGACGTGTTTGTTTTTGCGAGGTGTCTGTTGCACCGCTCGTACTTCAAATCGGCTAGATCCACCACTCTGGACCATAGAAGTGTCTCGTTGCAGATTGATGAGACGTTGATATTCATTAGCTATATCGTTCAGGGTGAGTTTTGGCTCTTGATCTAAACGACTTAATAGCCTTGTTCGTAAGTCACTGAACTTTTGGTGCTGTAGGCTGCAAATAAGTATCAGGGCCTTAAACTGATCTTCAGTCAAGGACTTTAACCGGAAGCGTTCGCATTCGCGGTTGACGACGCCCACATGCGTAAGAAAATCATCATCTTCGTTCATAGTTAGCTTCAAGCAACGATAACGAGTATTAAACAGTGACGAGTTATCGCCGAAATGTTGGATTAATGTTTGAACTGTGTCTGCAAATGATCGGTCACGTGGGTTCAACGGCAAGATCAGATTGCAATACTTGTCCAGCTCATTTGCACCCAGTTTACGAAGTAGCAGCCGCACTTTCCAAGCATCATCTTGATTGGCGAAATCAAATTTAAATAGATCTTCATATCGCCTGAACCACATCTCAAAAGTAACATTAGAATCAGGATCGTAATGAAATTCAGCTATGCTATTTGCGATGCCATCTACTGATGGTGCCGTGGTTGAACTAGACGTGCTTGGCTGTAAGGGAGGCGTAACCTTGGTCTCCATTAACATTTGCATCAATTTTAGCTGCTGTTCAAGTAACAGTTCAAGTTTGGCAGGGTCCATAATTCAAAACCACCGTCGCCAATTTGTTATGTTTCGTTATTGCTTGAATGCTATTACTGATGCGTCTTACTCGAACGAACGAAGGATCAATGATTCAGCGACTCGATAGCTACTCTGGTTCGTTGTCCCCAACTCTGCTAACTCGACCAAGAAGTCTGGGTAAGGTGTAGAAAGTGTATTCTACAGACAAACAGCAGATAACAAGTCAAGCAGATCAGATCAAGCATACAAGTCAAGCGTATTTATACAAATATTTACAATCGATATTGTCATGGAAGATTTTTGAACATTAATCAACAATTGACTGCTATTTGAACATTTAATCGATAGTTCATCAATTGACCTATTTGTACATTTAATCGATAGTTCATCAATTGACCTATTTGCGCCTTTAATCGATAGTTCATGAATTGACCCCAATAAAAATATCTAACATTTAATCGATTCGGTGATCGATAAGATAAAATTTAAAAATATGAGTTTGGGGATCTATCGTCCCCAACAATTTCACTAGTTGGAATCATGAGTCAGTGGTCTAATGGGTAAGCGCTAGCGCGCGAGACTGATAAGTCCTAGGTTCGAACCTCGCAGAGGCGGGATCGTGGGTGCGCACTGCTGAGGAGTCCCGCATTAGTACAAAATGGCCGTCCAGTGCTTCCAGGTTTTCCATGGTGGTCTAGCTTCAATTGGCTCATGATTTCAACTAATGAAGAAATATTGAATTGGATTTAATTCAACACATTTTTTTTGAAAACTAAGTGAGTATTCTAATTTACATTGTGCGGAAAAGCTATTACAAAATAAGTGTAAACAAATTTTCATTATGTAATCGAGAATTAGTAGGTTTCAACTGATTAGGCCTTAATGAAATGGTTGAGATTGATGATTCGCTGAAATAACATTCATGGTCAGTCTAAACTACTTATAGTAAACTGATAAAATAATTCAAACATTCTTTAACTATATCCGGTGTTAGTTGGTTCAAGATGTACTAGCACAAATTCATGTCCTGAATTAGTTGTTATTCATCAATAAGTTGCATTTGCAAATCTGAAAAGCCACCGTTCTCAAGATACAAGCCTATGTAACTTATAAAGCATCTAAAGAAATGAGACTTATTATTCTAGTCATTTAGTTCTAAGGGTAGATTCAAAACTTTAGTACAACTTAATCCGCACTAACAACTGAATTCATTTATTGATGTGATGTTAGATTAATAATTTATTAGTTACACTGTTATATTTTTACAAGTTTTCTGTAGTTTCAGTTAAATAGCATGAGTATTATATTTTATGTTTAAAACATTTGTGTTATCCTTTGATATCAAGTATTTTCCTTGTTTTCTTTTCTAAACTCAAAACAGACATTGTGGATACAATTTCTCACTGAACTATTAATTAAAATCATGTTTTAAAAATGAAACAACAAACATTTCCTACATTCTTCTGTTTATTCAATTTCATGTTTAATGCCGGTGTATTTACTTTTCAATCTGAATTAAAGATTTATCATTCAGACTTGATCACTTCAAACACATTCCAATCACGTCAGTATGAGAATGATGAGAATCTGGTTAGTGTTAATCAATCTCTCAGTGATAAAATGATGTTTTCAAATCAGATTAATAGAACAATGAATTCAAGGACTTTTAATTCTACATTACTGTACACCATGAATAATAATAATGACGAGTTTGATTTTCAGTCACTTGCCATGAACAAAAGAATCATTGAAGGTGTTCTAAAACGTTTAATAAAACTTGCTTCCAATAGCAATACATCATATTTTCATTATTCAAGTAATCGTTTAAAACGCTCATTATCTTCTTCAGACTACTTGTCTTCCACATCATCGTCAATGTTACCACCAACCTCGTTGTCTTCAACTTTTGCTTCAGATGATTTAGATTTTGTTCATGTTAAAATTCAAGGAATTATATTCGATGTGAAATTTCAACGTCCTGACTACAAGTCAAATGGTGCAGTGCATTTACGTAATCTCATGAAACCATATCCTCATTTATTACTAGATCCACATTATGCAGAACAAGTCATTACAGCTTATAATCCTCTAGTTATGCAAAATCAAATATGTAAAGAATTTGAACAAAACCAATCTAGTAATTATGTTGCTAATAGTTTCTTCATTGTAAATGATATTGGTGCGCTCGTTGACAGACCAATGCATGACAGATTGCACAGATTGTTCTTTCAAATCACATCTGCACTTGGTATACCGAGTATCACGTGGTTACCAAATAGAGTTGGACAGTTTGAGGTAAGTCAAAGCTTCATCTTAAATTCTATTTATTCTGTAGATGTTTTAATTCGCTCTTTTTTGTAAATTTGAAGTGAACAGAGATGCTGATTTTTAGTCTAAGTGTTCACTGCAACCGGAACTCACATTTTTGTTTATGACAATATTATGCTTCTCTGGAGTCATTTCATAATTTATGCAGATATCTTGGTGTTTGTTGAATATAACTATATTGAGTATTTTTACACAAGACCGACAACTATTTGTGAAATTCAAACAGTAGTCTCCTTCATCACCTCCACAAATTACGTAAAGTCTATGAGATGGAATAAAGCAATCAATTTAAGTCTCTACAAAAACCCGCTATAAATTCTTACTTATGGATAGGCATATTTAAAGCATGTATTTAGGTTAGGTGAAAAGATTTGTATTCACATAGTGGAGACAATTTATATCATTAAATGTCAATAATTAGAAAGGTGGTATCGCAAGGAATCTGCTTCATCTACCTCAACATCGTGTACGCGTGTACAGTTCAAGAACCATCATCGTCAGGGCTAATGGTGTATTTCTTTTTAGTCGTTTACTTGATCATTAAATGGTTTTCACTTCTAATTTCAATCTTTTCTTTGCTAATAGTGTTCATAACTATCTATTTATTATTATTTCCGACTTTTATAATTCACCTGTGTACAAAATGTTACACTTTTAAAACTATGATACTTCCTTTATATGGATACTATGAAACAACCACCACTTTAGTCGTCAATTAATTATTTTGAATATATCTTCTTTTCTAAGATAACAACTTATTTCTGTTGCATGAAAATGATAGCCAAAAATCGGTTTTCACGAATTATTTCGTTGTATTTGAACCACATCTGTGATGTAATTATTCAGACTACGTGTGTTTGCGAAATGTTTCTTTTTCAGTAACCAACTTACTTAAAAATTAACACAGTGGTCATGATGAAAGCATTTAAGCAGTGGCATTGATAAGGTGTTTATATATTACGGATTTAATTGAATGTTGATAACAAATGTTTGTCTACACCTTTGAGTTTATAAGATCGCTTCAGTTTCTAACCTTATTTGTTAACATTAGTTCTTCCATCAGTACTGATGAGCTGATAAGTGACAAAACTTGAAACTGATATAAACAGATCATCTGCTATATCCTTGTCATTCACGATACAAAAATTGTATTCAATATCAAAGGAGCAATGCATTATTCAGAAGGGTATTCTATTCTTCTTCATGACATTACCATTGGTTATGAGCATTATGAGTACTCAATAACTAAATTATATATATAACATGGTACTGTTCCTAATCAGAGGCTATTGAAAGTTTATACAATAATAAAATCCGAAAAGTATACTAGTGAATTGTTTAAACGAAATTTTCAAATTTCTTAGACGTTGTTAATTTAGTGAATGTATTGAAATAAACTTACAATAACGACCATAGAAAATCAAACTCTCGACTTGGAAATGACAATCAAAGTCACTTGACTGTATGCTGGTGAAAATGTGCTTAATTTCTCAAAATAAAGTATGTCTTCCAGAAAAGACAATATATAAATCTAGTTTATTTCAACTTATTCGTGGACTCAACCTCTGTTAACCAATGAAGACTTATTTGAAATTAATTTACTTTGCTGATGGTATTCGTTGAAGGTTGATCTCATTTAGAATACCACTGGTCTTTAGTGTTACTCTAACTGAGGTCATCCAGAAATCAAACTAATCTTTATAAAACCCGTTTATCAATTCTGTTATCGTGTACTCAATAACTATTTACCTTGAGATGAATTCCAAATGTTTTAGTGAGAAACCGCGACAGCGGGAGTTTACATATTTCAGGGATAAAATGATAATTAACAAAGGGATTAAATAAACAACACATTGTTTAAGAATTGAGTGAAGTAACAAGAAACCAGTCCACTGGTCCAGTAGTTAAGCGCTTACTTTGAAGTCTAAAGCTTCATGATTCGATCCCTGAAGTTGTGAATGTTTACTAATGAAATGTCTCATAGCAACACAAAACATCTCCACATTTCAACCAGTTTCTCAGTGGTACCTCAGCTGATATTAGTCTGTGTTAATGAAACTTACAGTATAAAATGTGTTTTTTTATTCGAAAATACATTACAATTCTTCCGTTTCTATTCATTTTACTTATATAATGAAACCAATCAAGTTCACTGCCTCTGCATAATTAACAAGATTATTAATTAGTATTCATATGCTTTTTGTCTATTTCTTGGATAATAATAATAAAAATAATGATCATTTCAGTGACTGACTGAATTATAGATAATTTTGATAAAGTATTTCCCGCAAATTATCAAATAAATAAAGGCTTATTTAAAACAATATATTGTCCAATGTGGTTTTTATATGTTAATAATTTGATTTTATCAATTACAAAGTGAAATATCATTTCTTTAATAACTTTCTTAAAATAAAGAACTTTTAAAAGGGCTTAGATGATATTCAGAATATTGCATACCTAGATAAATGGTTGCTCTGGTTTTCAGAAGGAGCATCGGCCTCGTGACTTCCGAAGGAACTCGGCTTTCATCATGAGGCGTCATAATTCTTCTAAATGAAGACCTTCTGACTCCCAGGGCAGAGTTTAAAAGGTTTGAATAATTTTTCTTCCGGTTAGCGTTTTCTTAGCGAGTTAGTTTTCTACGGAATGGGGTCGCTAACACCATGCCCAACTCTCCTCCTTTACCCGGGCTTGGAACCGGCAGTAGCCTCCGGAGGGACTCCAGTCGGAGTTATTCGGAATATTATGGTATATAAAATAAATAAAATAACAATTGTAAAACTTTTGTTTAATGTCAAACATACTTTGTCACGTTTTTATTATTTTTTTTTATAAAACTTTCATAGATAAGATTAATAGAGTGAGATGAACAGTCAATTGATATTGTTAAAATAAAAAGGAATATATTTTGTTGACTCGTAAACATACAAGTGGTGGGTGTACAATAAAACTATTTGTCTTATAGCTTCATCATTTACTGAACTCCAGTTTTCTATATATATATATCTATGTATAAAGGAGAATTATTTTTGATATAATAAAAAGATGTTTATAAATAGCTTAATTCTTAATTACAATCTAAAATTTCATTAATCACGAACACAATCCCTATTTCAATTCACTAGTTGTAGAAAAGATTATTCAAGATCAACGGCTAAGTTAAATAAAAAATATCTGATTCATATACTGAACAAAAGGGATTTCTTTTTAAATTTATTCCACAGTTTAATAATAATAATGATCATTATTATTATTATTATCTTTCAATTCTTTGTGAGGAAACAACACGCACAACTGTCAAAAAACCGATATTTTTATTATTTTCGTAATGCTAAATTGTTTTCTTTTTAAACATTTTTCTATAAATAATATGCATTGAACACTGAATATTGTTGAATTGAAAAAGGGAAACAAAAACAACTTTCGGTGAAGGGAACATCATCTCTTTTTTTACATCAATTTCTTATTATTATTTTTTTTAAATCTTCACCTGAAATCTATTTCCCGCTTATTTCTATCTTTCTAAAAAAGACTTAGTAGGTGGTATAATAACGGATTATTTTTATCCCTAAATGTTGTTTTAATTCTAGATAGTAATGAATTGCTAAAATATTGTTATTATTGTGAAAACAACTGCTGTGTACTAGAACACAGGTGGGGACGACCAATTTATGTTAGAATACAATAACAGAATGTCTAGATAAAATATGATAACTATACATTTAATAATTCATTTGCAAATTTCTATTATTTGTTCTTTACATTCTGTATGTTTTTTTTTTCTAATTTCGTCTCTGTTTCCTTCAAACTAATCTTCTTAGCATTCTGCTGTCAGGGTTTCCACTTCCAACTGGTGTTATATACTACTAATATCGACAGATATACATCAAACAACAATATTATTTTTTAAGTATATGAATAACTTAATGTGAAGATGGGCTGAAATCAAAATAACATGGTGTAAGTTGATATAAGGCGATCAGTAGGAAGAAGATAGAATCTTCATTTTGATTGACTATTGTTAGTTAACCGTGAAAGATGAACATTGCTCACGGTAAAACTGGAATTCAATTTATTAAGTCATTTACTTTGTCAGCATATTATTCGGATAATAATAGACTTCTCGAAAAAGTTAAAATGTACTCACAGAACTAGCCAAGTCATATTTTATTGCCGTTAGTGCTAATTTATTTTAAATTAGCAGGTTTACAACGTAACAATTCAGTCAAAAAACTTAAGACTATTGGGAAACTTTTTTGTTTGAAGTTAGTTTTGTGGTCATAAATACTCGGCGGAATATCATTACCTTCAGTTTCTTTCTGTTTGTCACTCTACAGGATAGTAATATATTTTAGGTATTGTCAACTTTAGCCTTTAATGTACAATGCAAAAACATGGCTAATGATAAATTGATAAACTTTTCTTTCTAAAAATCATTTAAATAATAATATTTCTGATCTAAAAATTCACGGAATGAAAATAGGAAACTTATCAAAATCCTCTTAACTATATAAAACAACACAGAAAGGGCAGTTTATCACTATTGAAGTGTAACAGAACTAGGACAAAGAGAGTTACAAGGAGTAAACTTTCATGGATAAGAAGACCATTTCTTCAAATTGATTTTAAAATAATGTGCTTTAGTTGTTATTTGATTTCTTTGTTGTTAATTGTGGTTATGTTTCTTACTGTCACACACAAACATGTATGTACTATCTTTTCCCGGTTATTACACCACCGACCAAGAACTCATGCACACACATGCATTGATCGATAAATATGTAAATACGTCATCTTCGTGTTTGTTTTGTGAAAAGGATTGCTTGGCTTTTATAAGATTCTATTATGGGTTTGTGCATAAACAAAACGGTGGACGATATATATATATATATATATTTCTTTAATTCAAAATTTACAAATATTCCTTTACTTTAAACACAGGACACTTGGACTGATTGCCTATA